GTGGGGGGGAGGGGGGGAGGTGGTTAGCAGCCAGAGCGCAGAATGGGGCGGGGGGGTAAGTAGCTGGAGCACAAAGCTGCTGGTGCACAGTGGCCATGCGGAGGGATGGGACCCTCAGGAGGGCCTGTACAGCACAGCCCATGGGTCCCCACAAAGCGCAGGGTCCAAGGTGGTTACCCTGATTCACCCCCCACCCACAGGGATGGCTCTGATCTCAAGAGTCAGGAGGCTTGCCTCAGCAGACAAGTCAGAACAGTTTACTGGCATGGAAACCTACAACCCCAGCTGGTACTAAATGAATAGATGGCATTTCCAGCAGCCAATCAAGAAGCTTGCTGTTTGTGAACTTGGTCAGAGCTCACTAGCTGATGGCTTACTACAAGTGCAGCTACTGAAGAACTTGGCCCAATTTGACCTGCCTGATCAAAATCCCTAACATCTTAGTCAGATATTAAATGTAAATTAAATTGGGGATCTAGGAATAAAAGCCTTAGCATTACATTAAAATTCTTATATTTATGGCTAAATCCAAGAGTACTGAGGTGCCTAACTTAGGCAAAGTTTACTTACCTAAATATACACAAAATACAAAAGGTGCCCAGATTTCACTAGTAAAGTGCTGGTGAAATCTACTGTGCATACCAGAACTGTTACTAGTATGTTACTGTTATTGTCCATTCCAGAAGTCCTGGCATTTTGACTTAGCTGTCCACCACAGCCCTTATTTATACTGTCCAGGACCATGTGGAATTCATAGACACTTTGATGCCCTCTCAACAGCTAAGTGCCCTAAAGGATCCAAATATGGGAGGCATTCTCAAACCACAACTTTGGAATCAGCTCTAAACATAGCAGCCCAAGTTAGATTCATTATAAAATACTGGTGCTGGTGGTGCTGAGGGTGGGAACAGCCCCTTTAAATATAATAGTGTAGTGGTTAGAGCTCTCATCCAAGATGTAGGAGATACAGGATGTATACATTCCTCAGCTTAAGAAGGTTGAAACCTACAGCTTTCAATTCTCTTGCTATGGGCGAAGCCATGCTAACTATGAGTTAAGCTGAGGTAGGGGCTATCTACATCCCTTCTGCAGAAGCTGTGACCCAGCAATCAAGACTGCAAATGGAGCCAGTTACAAAGTAATCAAGATGGAGCATGCTTCTGCATCTCCATGATAAGGACATTCCCTTGGAGGAAGTGAGATCTCAACTGTGTTCACTGATCCAAAAACAGTTTACATAATTTAACCAATGATTCTGTAACTGGGGAAAAAGCATCAGTCCCTGAAGCAGAAACCAGGACCTCTGTCTCCTAGAAGGCTGTCCCATCACTGAGTTACAGAATCAAACGCTCTCTATGACTCCAATAATCTTGTATACTTGTCTGCACAAGGGCACAATTTGAATCTGGAGATTGTCCCCAATCCACATACCTTCATGACTTGAGCAGGACTTTTAGAACATTCTTTTGGGAGGTGGAAGCAGCATGTTTGAACCGTTTCAGGTTGAAGAGAGTACAGAAACTGGGTCTTCCATTTGCAAGGAAGTACTCTACCCAGTAATTCATTATCAGGGATCCTGGCTTTCTCTGATTTAAAAAAAAAAAAATCTCCAATTTTCGGATTAAAAAAGGTAACCCAAAATCCACATTTTTACCTGATTAAACTGAAATGCCACTTATATATATGTGTGTGTGTGTGTGTGTGTGTGTGTGTGTGTGTG